CTCACATTCACACCTACGGACAATTTACAATCACCAATTAACCTCAACATGTTTTTGGACTGTGTGGGAGGAAGCCGGAGAACCCGGAGAGAACCTTCTTGCTGCGAGGCAACAGTGCTACCAACTGCGCCACCCTGCAGCCCTTTGCACAGACTCTGTCCAGATAAATGTTAGAAAACCACAAGGGGGAAGCAAACAAACGTATCTGTGTCAGGAACTTTTTGCCTCAGTGCAGTAAACCTTTAAAACATGTTTGTGTTTTAAAAGTATTTTTTCTGCTCAGAGATGATTTTGTCTGCATCAAAAAAGGCTTCAATAAGTAACTAATTTGCACCTCAGTTGATGGTGTGATCAGCAGTAAAATGTCTCTTCAGCTGTGTCCTGTGAGCATATTCATGGGAACAAGTCAAGCCTCAAGATTCAACATCTGTCTCCACCAATGAATGAAATATTGCACATGGACCGAGAAGTGCACGTATTTAACACTATAGGGAATGTAGTCACTCACTTCCATGAGCAGCAGTTAAGCAGGCAATAAATGATTTAAATTCTCAAGTGAGTTATGTAAATAATTCCATGTTTGTGTTGATTAGTTTTAAATCTTACTTTATGTTATGTTGAGATTTTAGAAATGCAAGTCATTGCTGTTGCACACTGGATCCTGGCACCACGTTTTGACACTGTGCAGTTATTTTTTACATTATAGATTTTCTACATTTTTGCCCACTGCATGTTCTATGTACTGTATATAATCTGTAAAACATTACAGATATTTAAAACAAACAAACAAACAAACAAACACACACACAAAAAAAAACATTTAGTGCGTTTTACTACCCCTGTGAAAAGTTTTGTGCCAGAAATGTTTTATAATCAGTTTAAGTTGTGGCTTTTTGACTGTTATTGAAGCTGTAATTTCCTGCAGTGGATCAATAAACTTATCTATCAACATCAACATTGACATGATTGATTCTGAGGCACAGAGTTTCAGATCCACTGGTAGCTCCCTGAACTCACTGTGGAACATGAATGAAGCACTGGCAGTCAAGTGGGATGACCTTACTTTCCCATTTTCTATTCATTTTGGTCAAAAATGACCTGAAAATTGTTTAAAGCTGGTTAAAATCAGCGCCTCTGACAGACTTCTACCCACCATATAAAACGTGTCTGCACACAGCCTTGTGGTTTGCTGGTTCCTCTTGAAATAAAGGAACTTGGCACAAAGACAATACAAAGGTATTTGCACACGAATCCGTGGTGCTGATCTGCATATAAACTCAGGCCATGCACTGCTTTGAAAAGCTCTCCACCTTCTGATTCTAATCATCTCCACGCTGTCAAATGAAACGCGGACAGGCAAACGCCAGGACAGCCTCCTCTTCGTTGCACGCTGTGGAGTTTCCAGGGAGCTTTTGGGCGGAAAGTTTGCGCGGAACCACCAAAACAAACCTTGTGTTTCCAGGAGTTTTTGTTCAGACTGGTTAACCCCGCATCTTTGGAGACAGGCTTTGGAAGCTGAGCGCGGTTTGGGCGCTTCGTTGTCACCGTAAATGGAGTCATCTCTTGAGTTTTCCAGCTCTCTGGGGAGCGTATCCTCACTGCTAACCCGCTGTCGGACATTCAAAGTGCTGGTGATCGGGGACTCCGCGGTGGGGAAGACGTGTCTCACGCACCGACTGTGCGCCGGAGAGTTTCCCATCAGACCGGAGGCCACCATCGGCGTGGACTTCCGCGAGAGGCTGCTTGAAGTCGACGGAGAGAAAATTAAGGTAATTGCTGAAATTTATGCATCACTTGAGGCAAAACGTAATTAGCGACAGGGCATTTGTCAATATGGTACCAAATCCATTTTTACGCAGGGCTGTGCGTAAAAATGGATGTTTGGCGACGCGTTGAGCCGAACTCTTGGATGCAGACAACTTGTTTCTGTTGTTTTGAAAAAGTGACATAAAAGTTTGTAGGCAAGGAAAACTGAGCATTGATGTGTTTTTTATTTAGATATATTGATAATTCAAGCACTTGTGTTAACTTGACGCGCTGTTGGCACACTTACCGAACAGAGGATGGTTAAAAAAATAAAAAGGTGTGATGGAAATTGGGCATGAACTGCATTATTTAATTGAATGGATGCCATTGTGCCTGTGTTGTGGTTTCAAACGACCCATTTTCAGCCAATTTTAGATTTTGCAGTGAGTAGTTTTGGCAGCACTTTCAGTCAGTTGGCTCAATTTAACAAAAGAATCAGATCAACAAAGCAAAACCCACCAGAAGCTCCATGTCTGAAAGGAGCCCTGTTGGACTACTACAGGTTCCCAAAGAGAGGTTTTTAAGGCTTTTTTTAATTGAATCTGTCAGCTCTAAATATGTATAGAGCTTAAACTCCAGTGTGTGTGTGTCAGCTAAATTAAGAGTTATTTGCCTCAGGCTGAGTGAGAAATGAAAATTCCCTTGAAGCAGAGCTGCTTGTGTTTGCAGACTATAAATCACTGTGAGGCTTGTAAACGGATGGAGGCACATACATGCATCTATTCAGGATTTTTATGATGCATTTCTGATGTGTGAGAAGCTTTGTTTAAAGGGCATCGTGCAGACTTGACAATGGACTGTGTTTATCCGAGGGACTCTGTTCTTTATTAAAACTGTGGGTGTTCGTTGGTCTCTGCAGCTTCCTGAGTGTTTTGAAACAGCCACATGACAGAGGAAGTGTCCGTCAGTGGTAAATGAACATTGGTTTATCACTTCCAGAGTTTTCTGCTTGATTTCCAGCACTTTGAATCAACAAGGCACACTCTTCAAATGTCTTTGATATGTGATATTGTACAATTTAACAACGTCCCAGAATCCGAAACTATAAGAGGGAGTCGGAGTCAAGTCGCATATTCATAAGAACAGGACTCAAGTCTGCAAAGTCAAGTGAATACAAGACACGTTTTATAATCAGTCTGGATAAGTCTTCAGTCAACCAGCTCTAAATTCTACCAAGTCTAAAGTCAGTCGAGTCAAACATCAGTTCAAAACAAAGTCTCTAACCTACCAAAGGTGCTTTTATTATGCTGGCATGTTTCCTTCCTTCATTCATTCATGCCTCCTCCAAATTCCGTTGCTCCCTCTAGCAAGGATGTGACAGAGAGTTACCAGGAATTACTAAATGACTCATGAAGCTGGACCACCTGCTGAATCAAACTCATGAAGGTGCAGCGTTTTTGCGTCAAACTGCTTAATATTAAAAAAAAAAAATCTATGTAGGATACAACTGTGTTTCCTTGATTTAGGCTCCTTCCAGCCTTCCTTGTATTCTTGAGGCACATTTAAGTAGTTAAATAGGATTATTTAGTGATGTGAGGAGTTTATCACAGAAGCCAGTGGGTGCTGTTGCCAGGCGATGCTAAATCTTCTAGTCCTGCAAGCTAATGTTAGCTCGCTATTTATTATAACTGCTGGCTAAAGTCTCACCTCCAGGTCTCAGTGAGGAAAAAGACGACCCGTGTTGATGCATCTCTCCAACCATTATCTCATCTAGACTTGTTTCGCCTTCCGCTTTTGTCTTATTCTAACTGCAAAGTAAAATTAGCATTGCAGCAACTTGTTGCTTCACAGTTGTTTCCATCTGCTTCCTCGTGAGGTCATGTGAGGTGATGCTCTGCTCCCTCTGACACCATAATCTTAACATTATCCTGTAGAGTGGGATGTGCTGTTACTTTTACATCTTGTAGCGTGTGAATGTCGAGATTAGAGGGAAGTGAGTATTTCTCCTTATGTGTATGAAGCAGCAAAATCTGTTATGATTTGAAAAGTCCCGTAATATGAGACCGGCTTCAGATGAGTCATTTAAAATAAGTCTTAAGTCTACCAAGGCCCAGTCCAAGTCTTAGTCAGTTAAAACTGCAACAGTCAGTCAGGACAAGTCTCAAACCATCTCAGCTAAAATCAACTCTAAAGTCAGTTAAGATGCTTTAGAAGCCAATCGCAAGCTCTCGAGTCAACCAGGACAAGTGTGAAGTGAATGGAGGCAACAAGTACCTGCTGGTACGAGTCTTCATAAGCAAATTCAAGTCTTTTAGATCTTCAGGGGCTAATAAGTAAAATGATGCTGTTTTAGAACAAGTCTTGAATCAAATTTCAAGTCAGTCAGGACGAGTCTGAAGCCAAGTCGAGTCTCAGTTCATGTTTTAGTTCAGGTCAGTGAAGATAAGTCCAGGCTTCCTGGGTCAGGGGGCTAAATAAAGCTGTTTTAAAGCGTAGACCTAATAATCAGATGTCAGAGTTGTGTAGTCGATGCAAACACGACTTCTCTTTGTCAGGTTTTTACTGTTTGTTTTGTGTTATTGTGATTTTGTTGATTTTGCAATATTTTATGTTACACGTGTCTCATTTTTTTCACAAGAGACTCACGTGGTCCGTTTTATCTGTGACAAAACCTTGAAGGGATCTGACTTTCTAATGATCAGATCGACTTGTTTATTCCTTTTCTTAGTTCCCTCTCTGACATGACTCACTGTGTGTATGTCCCTGCATGTGTTTGTGTGCTTCTGCTCGGTTTGGGGTATTTCAAAACATTTATTTCTTTTCCTCTGTGCGCCTTCCGTCTTCTCGATTTCCTCTTTCTAGCGTGGGCGTCTCTGCCACCTTCCCGTTGGTTCCTCACTTTCTTTTTTTCATTTCCCCTCCTTCCTCGCCACCAGCTCCAGCTGTGGGACACGGCAGGACAGGAGCGCTTTCGTAAGTCCATGGTGCAACACTACTATCGCAACGTCCACGCCGTGCTCTTCATTTATGACGTCACCTGCCCGGCCAGCTTCACCAGCCTCGCCGCCTGGCTGGAAGAGTGCCGGCAAAACTCCCTCGGCCAGGAAATACCCAGGTAGCTGCCTCACCTGTCTGCTTTCACTTCTGCTTATCAAAAGTGTTTATGTTAACGCCATCTTCCTTAATCTGTTCCACTTCCTCGTCTCCCTGCAGGTTCCTGGTGGGGAACAAGAGCGACCTCCGTGACCCCAGCAGGACCGGCCGCCAGGTGAGCCAGGAGCAGGCCACGAGCTTCGCCAAAACCCACGGCATGGTGTTTTTCGAGACGTCTGCGAAGAACCCGCCGAAGAAATGCACGAAGGGACGACGAGGTGACCGCGAGGCGCCTTATCAGCAGGACAACGTGGAGGACGTGATCACGGCCGTTGCTGCCAAACTGAAGAAACAGAAGAAACCCTCAATGGTCAACACACCGATGTACGGAGGGTCATTTAAAATCGGGAACAAGAAAAAACCAGACAAAGATCAGTGGAACTGCTGCTGAGAGAGACAAGACAGACAAACGAGACTTTTTAGCTGTTAATATGCAGGTTTGTGAGAATGAACATGTGCAGATTGTTCATTTGTGACCAAAAATCTGGAAAAGTTCACACATGAAATCCAGTCGCTCCCATGCAAAGATCTGACGCCTGTGTGAGTTGCACTACCTGGAAATTTTCTGTGTATTTGTGATCTTATTGTTTACAATAGCTGCAAAATAAAATACTGTGAATGGAAACCTTCAAGTGACCTGCTGATGGGTCTTTACTTGTTGTAGCGGAAAAGTGCAATTAGTCACAACAACAACTCCTGCAGCATGAAAATGGGAGTTTTCTCACAGCATCCAAACACTGTCCTGTGTTGGATGAATCCAAGCAGCTGCGTTGGTCATGTTAGAGCTGCAAATACTGTCTAGTAGCAACCTGACTGTGGAGCTTCATGTGGATTTTGTTACGTCGAAAAACAGACTTTACAGAAACACGTACTTCCGAGTCATAAGTGCAACTCGACAGAGGAAAGCAGCATATAGGTTGCATCAGTTTTTAAATGGGTGATATGAATCCAGTTGCTTTAACCCATTACTGCTTGATATGCCTGGGTCTGTGTTTACAGGTTGCTCTAGGTGCTAACATTTGCAACCTAATGTTCCATATTTCTGTCTGAAGCTGAACACACAGACAGGCATTCTGTGTTTTTGACACCTTAAACTCGTCACGTTGTTCCACTACCTATGACACAAGTTGGCAGCTGAGTGCAGCTCGTTGCCTAAATCACCTTTCATTGGATGCATATACGGAAGCTATACACCGCTCGAGTGCAGGGTGAGCCAGAGGAGGGCTTTATTATTCTGCAGGAGGATAAATATGCACCTGTAGTTGAGTTTACAAAAAGTTTCAGCTTTACAAAAGACAGCAACGTGTAGATTGCATCAGTTTTCACTATGGTTATTATAAACAGTGTCTTCAACTCATTAAGAACCTGATAAAAACATGTGTACGTGTGAGTGTTTTAGGGAATGTTGGGTTTTCCTCACTGTTAATGACTTAAAGTTCCACTGAAACAAGAATTACTGCTTCTTGTAATGTGTTGTGTTTCTGTCTGAAACTGAAAATTCAGACAGGAACTACGCATATTTGGAAATGTTTTTGACAAGCAGCGTCTCAAACTCCTGATTTGTTTTGCTCCACTAATTATGACACAAGTTGCTGAGCTGGCAGCAAACGTTCCCACAACATTGGATAACATTACCTACAAGTTCTTTTTTTTTTTTTTAAAAGAAAATGTTTTACTCAAAAGTTCCAAAAATAATTGTATGTCCAATAATGTTTGTATAACGTTAACACAATGTTTTAATGTCAACATTCAGGAGATATTCTATGATAGCAAAATAGGAACGTTATCAAAACAACATTCAAAACTTGTTTTCCAGACATTAACAAGGCCTTTATGAAACGTTTCTGTCCTGTGATATATTAACATGAAACATTCTGTCTGCAATGTTCTGGGGATGTTGTTGAGGGATGCATTATAGAACATTCTTCTAAAAAACATTGTCCCAATGTTCCATAATAACAAAGGTAGGACATTATCAAACCAACATTCAAAACACGGTTTCCAGATTTTATTGAGGCCTCAGATGACAGATGGTTCTTTATGACACGTTCCTGTGTTCTGACCTAATAACAAGGGTGGGATGTTCTGCCTGCAATGTTCTGTGGAGGTTTTGGAGATGTTGTTGGGGAAACGGTGGAATTCAGAAACAGGAAAAATGTTCTCAGTTTGCTATCCTACTTTTAGAACGAGCATTCTGGGAACTAAAACAATACTTCCTGCTGAAAACATGAGCAGAACTTGGCAGAACTTTCTTAGAATGTTTTTGCAGCTCTTTGCCCAAAGCACATTTGATTAGATGAATTTATGCAGGCTGTCCTCCACCCAAGTGCAGGGTGAGTCACCAAAAGTGGTTTTACATTTTGCAGCAGGACAAAACGTGTTTGTTTTGCATTCAGTCAATGAAAATCCTGCATCTGTCCTGAATCATTATACTAGTAGAGAATGATTTGGTGCGGTGCTGCTCTGTCTGCCAACAGTTTTCCACCACAGCACTGCGTCCCGATGGAGCAAACATCACAGCAGTCATGCTCCAGTCTTGTGCATGAGCGTGACGTGGGCGATGGAAAAGTGCATCATGTGTTTTTGTGATTTCGTGTCTAATCGATGATTCAGAAGGGGTCACATGATGAAGGCAGACTGCCGCAGATCTTGCAGCGCAGCGGAGGTTCGCTCAGCTGAGTCTAAAGCATCACACTGGTGCCACATTCAGCAGCCAAATGTTAGGGGTCTTTCTCTAAACTCCAAAAAAAAAAGAAGGTAACTGGAGGAGGAGAAATCTTGGAAGTGGTTTTGTATTCCTCTAATTTGCCACAAGGACAGTTTTAAATAAAGTGCGACCTACTGAATGAGCATAGAAGAGAGCCGTGGAGCTGATTTTGCATTTTGAAGATGAATTTGTTTTGCCTGTGAAATCAGCTGTTTGAAGTTTGCTGTGAGAAAACAGGCCTGTAGGTGTCACAGCGTTGCAACCAGGAGGTTATTAGTTCAGCTTGGGGTACAAACTGGGAAAGTTTAAGAAGGGATTATGTGGCATTTGCACAATGCATGTCAACGTCTGCCCCTAAAGAGTTCCAGCAAAAAGTTGGAGAATAACATCAGACATGCATCACATTACAGAAAAAGAGATGATTGTGCTAAAATGATCCAGATTCTGCAGCTTCAGTTTTCTCCTCCTGACCACAAGATGGAGCCAATCTTTATTCCAGCACTTCTCTGGGTTGATAAAATCTTTTAACTGTAGGAAGGAAAAAATAAAACAATGCAGTACTTTCACAGTACAACACAATCCTCTGGGTTTTCAAGGATATACACATTTTTTTCTTCCTGTACATTTCTGACTTACTGATTAAATTTGAACAAAAAATGGCAAATGCTTTTGCTTTTTTAGCGAAAATGCCCGAACTAAACTGTGGTTTTTGTTCACACTTGCATGATTTTTGTATGACAGCAGTAATCAAATCATTCTAAAAGCAATAGAAAAGCATTCATGTATGTGTTATAGCATTTAAAAATAAACTTAATCTTTCTTTTTATTGAACAAATGGTATAAACTTGTCCTGCCTGCATGAATTGTATGAACAACTTCATATTGCACAAAAAAACAACAAAACAAAACACATTAAGAGGCCAATATTTTAACAGTTTTGACTATTAAGTGTTGGTTAATGTATAAACAGACTGACCACTAGCAGATATTTTAAATAAGCAGCAGGTTATAATTGCTTTTTTTATTGCTTTGGAATTTACAGAGTAAAAGTCAGAGCCGACAAAGTGTTTGACTTCCTTCATAACAACCAAAAAATGGTTTTGCATTAAAAAGTTTGGATGTGAAATTTTGCTATTAAGAAGGAATTAGTCAGAGTTCATAGATTTGTTAGTCTGAATGAAGCCAAACAAAATATGGCTCCAGAATGAATTAAAGAGAAATGAGAGTAGTGATGTAATGAAAGTTAATCTCATGCATAAATACAGATCAAAGTGAGGGAAGATGCCCCTTCACAAGATTTTACATTCAGTTTTACAATAACAAAGTTGTATCTGTTGTGGTTTTATGACTCTTTAAATGTGATTATTTAAGTAGACTTTTTGTGCATTCTGTGCATTTGTAGGTTCTTGTTTTACTATATGAATAGTAAAAGAAAAGGACATTGTTCTGAGCTTCTTGGTTGAATCAGTTGTTTCTCATTGATGGCCTCTAGGGGGCGCTCTGGTGAAGTTACCTTGCTTTAAACAGGGGGTGTGCTCTCTCTCTCTCGCTCTCTCTCTCTCTCTTTCATCAGTAAAGCAGTAGCTGAGCTCTTTAATCATTTAACTTGAAAACCTGCTGGAAACAGTCTCACCGGTGCCGCTGCTGCTGCTGATAACCGAGAAACATGTTCTGCAGACGGGCATGGCAGAGAGTCGGGCCGCTGGCACGGAGGGCTTTCAAACCGGCATCCACAAACAGTGAGTTTGTTTTTTTAAACTCTCACTTTCCACAGACTTGATTGGCTGTGAAGTTAGTTGAAGCAACTAAAACGTGCACTTTCCAGTTTAATTGTCATTCTGGGAGTTACTGGAGCGCTTTGTAATTGTGTTGATGTGTTTATTTGTGAGAACTGACCTGATATCTCGTGAAAGTGCGATGATTTCTAAAGTTTAATTCGTGCAGCTGCAATTATGTCATGAATTTGTATTCTACGGTTGTTTTTAAAGTGTGAATTTCCCATAAAGAGACACATTTGTGCGCCTCTCGGTGCGCAGAGACGCGCAGCAGCAGCGGTCTGTCCGTCTGACAAAGGAGGTGTGTCCTGCTTTGGGAACACATCGTTCTTCACCAGCGTTATGAAAGAGCATCAGTGAAAGTCTCTCTGATTTGAGGTTTTATAACAGATCTGCAGCAAGTGCACAATTTGAGTTGTAGTTTCCATGCATGCAGGCTGGTATTTGTGCAGAAATAAGCCTTTAAAAGCGATTCATCGTCATGGTTACACGTTGTCCCAGGAGCTGCATGAGCAGGACCACATGGAGAGCAGCTATAGACGAGGGCAGGTTCAGGCCCCCGGAGGCTGAGAACCACATCCAAAATGCCACTTATATAATTTATAACCCTTTACTGAACAGAACATCTGCTTTTTTGACGTCTAAAATCTCACTTTGGAGAGTTTGCGTGGAAGCTGAGAGGGGGATTTGACACTTGCTCGTTTGTATTTTCAGGAGGTTTTATCTCTTCACGCATGCATGCTTGCACGGATCATCCTTTTACTTTGGGATCTGAGCATGTGGAATTCAGCCTGAGGGGGAAACTGCTGCTTTAATTTCCTGTGTGGAACTGTGCGACAAAAAGCTGCAAGCCTGAATGTGATGTGTGAGCCTTCAGTTGGCCACAGTGGGAGTTTTTTTTGTGTGTTTTCTGCACATGTGACCTTGCAGTTGGTATAAGAAAGAGAGCCGAGGTGGATGCTCCAGGCTGCTGCTCTGTGATTGCGTAACAGCTCTCTGTGGCCTTGAGGCAGCACCTTTGTGCAGCAGGGCCCCACCAGTCCTGCCCTCGCCGTCCTGCAGGTCTGCATGTCCTCCTCCTTCATTTAGTCTCAGTGAGCACATGGCAGCTGACAGACAGTAGCAGGAGAGTGCACGTTCGCCCCTCGCCGTGCATGTAGCACACATGTCCCTGCTACCACAGCGGCCATCTTGTCTGTTGTTGCCTGACATGCGTGTCCATTTTTACAGGCTTGAACCCGGCAACAGGGATTAACTGATTACCTGTATAAATAACCTGTACTTGGCCTTGTCCCTGCACGCTGCTGCTGTGTCACAGGTATTAGAGCAGGACGCAGGACTTACAGCTACACTGGCTCAGCATCAGCGGGACAATCCTCAGGCCTGTTTTGACTCAGCTTTGACCCTCCGAAGCCCAAGTAGTTTATGGGCATTTCTTTGCTGAGCTCACATTTTTAGTCCCTTTAGGCTCAATCTTGACTGCAGCATCAAGTCCTGCCCCTCTGTGGGAACAGCACAACCACAACCAAGAGCAACTCAGAAATGCTGTCTGAGCAGCACGAGCAGCACAGTTGTCGTCATAAATCCTGAAAAGTGCAAACTAAATTTGAATTTCATTGACGAGTTGCTTTACAAAAATAAAAAAGAGGAAACCGTTTGCGCCACATTTTTCCACATTGTGTTACCAATATTGCAAATAAAATACCTTTACATACTATTGACATTTTAATATTTACATTTCTATTTTTTCCATGCTCCTCTGCTTTGTGTGAACACAGCCTGCAGTTCAGCCAAAAGGTCCCTACATTTCCCTGAAGAATCACGCTAAAGGTTCATTTTTGGCATTTTGTTTTTTTTCAAATGAGACACGTAGAATAAAATGCTTTTGATGAAATATAACAGTTTTAAGCTTAGATTTGGATCATTTTGTCACAGACGAGTAGTTCAAAGACCATCACTAAGTAAAACAATTATTGATTATTTGTTTTTATAGTTTCTGACTCTGATAAATGAAGTCATCTTTTTTAGAAAACATGATCCACTGGCAAGTTTTGGGAAGGAGAAGGTTGAGCTACTCTCATGTCTGTACAGTGAATGTAGCTGAAGCTAGCTTAGCTTAGCACAAAGACTGGAAACGGGGGGAAACGGCTAGCCTGGCTCTGTACCAACGTAACATGATCTAGTTCCTAGCAGCACCTGTGAGGGTCAATAATTCACACGTCATAAGTTTTGTCATATGGTGTCATCATGACATGAAACAAACTTGTTAATTCATGATTTGTAGAGGTGATAAAGTAAACTGACCACCTGCCGCTGGCTCCAGCTAAATATAAAGTGGACGGATCCCAGAGCTTTAATAAACAAACTCAGATAAAAATATTAGAATGTTGACTATTTCATTTTAGAAACAAATGTTTAATTCGGAAAAACCTGATTTAAAAAAAATATAAAAAATTGCCAGTCGGGGGTGGCAGAAACTATTTGAACATCACGTTTAAGCCGATGTGGCAAAAAAAAAACAACCCAGCTTTGCGTCTTTACATGAACAGCAACATGATCATTCGTTTGGATTCACTCTCTCTGTTTCCTCTGATTTGGTCTCCACCACCAACTACTGAGACAAATACTAGACTATTTTGCTTCTAAATTACCAAAGTTAATAACTATTTGGTGCTGAGCAGGTTGGTTTTTGGAGTGTTTTTTGTGCCACACACGCTGGTTGTTCGGGTGACAGGAGAAATTTTGTTGGTACATTTTGAACTATTAGAAAAGTCAAACAAAACTGCTAAATTACAAAAAAAAGCTTTTAAAATAGTTTCTGTGCTCACTATGGGTCCACTATACTCTATGGGTTGATTTTTTGGGGGGAAAATTATCTGATATTTTGCAGACAGATGTTGTGATTGTGATTAAATAAACCTTTTTTTGCTCCGGTCGTATTTTTCCTCACTGTGGGCTCATTTTTCACTACAATACAAAGTCCTGCAGTTCAGCTGAAAAGTCTGAATTTGTTAGTTTTTCACAGAATCTGGTTAAAACTAATGGTTTACTTTTGATTTGTTTTTAATTGAGACATGTAGAAGTAATGTGATTTCCATGAACCATCCCCATTTTAAGCTGACATTCAGCTAAATTTTCCAACAGAGCAACACATCACAGAGCATAACTGAAAGGACCGTCAGAAATGTTTAAAATCAGACGGTTGTCCCTGTTGTTATGGTGTGTGTGCTAAATTGTGTAATTTCTGTTAAATAACACGCCTTTAGGGATTCTGAGTGTTTGCATTATGAAATCCAGTCAATAATTAAGCAAACTGTGAACGACATGACTTGAGTTGTCGGTGGAAAAGTGTGAGGATGAGGAAGGATTTGTCTGAACACACGTGTGAAACAAAAAGGGGCGTGTCGCGCTGTACATTGTGTTCTTTTACCGCCTCCGATGCTCGACTCGAGTTGCCGAGTCAACCACGTGCACATGGAAACACAAATCATGTTAGAGATATAATCTGCACTGTCACCTTGTCCACGCGCACACTCTCGGGGGCGTGCACGTGAACGTATGCAAGTGGAGTGTGTGTGTTTGTGTGTGGTGTAGGTAGGAAGAGATTAGGCCGAGGCAGTGCTGGGGATGCAGGCTGGTTTTATTTCTGGCCTCTCCTTCCTGCACCACTGGCAATCCTGTAAACGCCAGCGGATCCTTTTACAGCCACACTCACCTGTCCGCCAGCACAACAACAACAAAAGCCAATTAGGAAGCTTTTCAGAGATTCACTATCACTCCTGGTGCTTTTTAAAAGGACCAGTTTGCATGAATCCCAGCCCACCGGATCATTTTAAAGTTGTTTGTGTTTGATGCAGATCTGAGGTCGTCGAGCTGGAAGCGTTCTGATGTTTGTGTGCACCGAGGATTTAATTTAAGAGACAGTCGAGTGTTTAGCTTGGCTGCTGCTAAATCTTTCCGTCTCCTCGGCTACAAATGACTGAAGCTGTATTGTGTAACAGGATTAAGGGACGGAGGCATGTCGACGCTGTCAGAATGCACAGTTCTTTCTGACAAATCAGTCTTTTGAGGGAATAAATGTCATGTTATCAAACATATCGTAGCTTCTCTGTGACTTTCGCTGATTATTGATGCTCTTACACACAAAACACTGATGTCCAATAAGAGCTCGACTGCTCGTACAAATCACAAAATCTATTTAAGATATACTTTTCTAACTCTACCCTCGTGTGTTTTTAGTGACTCCGGTGCGACACATGGCCTTCGGGATTCCTGGAGGCTCCACCAACATGACGTATGTTGTTTTGTGTGGAGGAGGCCTCACTGCTGCAGTCGTCTATGTGAGTATCACTTCAGTTTGCACTTAATGGGACACAAACTTATGGATGTATATTTTACCCACACATGCTTCTGCTGTGATTGCTTCAAGTGATGCTCCAACTTGTTTTATCATTAACAGGATCTTCTGTTCTTCCCACATTAAAAAAAGTGGTCATTTTCTCTGTGGATTTTTGTTGACATACCGGACGCTAACGATAAAATGATGTCACAAAACTGAAATCCAAACAGTTTTAAATGCAGTGTGCACATAAAAACAGCAAGAAGATGCACAGAAACACAATCTGTTAAATGGTAAATTCTAGTTTGATGATGATTTACATTCTTGCACTGCTTCAATCACAGGACCTTTACTGATGATGATGGTGCTTTCCTGCACAGTGAATGTCTTTAAGCACTTTTAAATTAAATGCATATTCAGTTGAGGATGGTTTTTAAGAATTCCTTACAATTTTTTTTAGCATTAACTGTAACCCACACCTCTTATCAGGTACTTAGAATGCAGTCTTGAGAACTTTTTACCTCTATGTTACAGGTGCTCCCGTTCAAAGTCTGTGAAATGTAAGCAGTTCAAAAAATATATAGAGAAAAATATGTCCTAAAAATATAAACAGAATATGAAAAAGTTTTGGTTTGTTCATAGGCCGTTATAATTTATAGATTACAGTCTACATCTGGAGCAGTTAGAACATCTTCAAGAACCCAAAAGAGATGTTTGGTTGCTTTTTACTGGACTTAATGACCGAGAATCGACACAGACGAATAACAAGCATGGTTAACTATAAGTACAAACTGCTGCAGGGGATCGATCCAGTCAATTTGTAGTTTTCCAGCTCGGTGTCTTTGCTGGTATGAACTGGGAGCCAGTTAACGGTTGATGTCACCACGGCTCAGATGCTAGAAGCACCACAGAGGCTCTTTGTGCTTTCTGACCTACTCTTGCAGTCATTGTCTGCTCAGACTGTTTGCTGTCCGACTCTTGGCAGAGCCGTGTTGGTTCATGCGGGACAAAATGTCACTGTGAGGTGGCGTTTTGTAATCCCGTTATCGCTGGATGTGTGCTGGAATGTAATAGCTTCATATCTTATTCTGCGTTTGTCTCAGGCCTACAAGACAGTCAACGGTGATACTGAGCGCCCTGAGGACAAAATCGCCATCATAGACACCGCCGCAAAAGGTCAGCTGCTCGTACAAACGCACAAAAAACACACACCTGGGTTCCTGAATGTAACTTTGTGCAGCCCTAAAGGAGACATCTCCCTTTACTGGAGCTGCTAAAAAGGTCGCCTCCAGAACACAGTTAAGACACTGAAATGTAATTTTGCACAGAATGACGTGGTTTATCTGAGCAGAAATGTCCTGACAGCTCTGATGGAGCTCAGGATTCATCCACAGAAGCTCGAATACAAATAATTTTTCCAAAGATGAGGAAAGAAAACCAGAGTAACTTCTGATATAAGGAGCTGGAAGATTTAACAACAATAGATTTAATAGTTGACGACTAATTGGTTAACTGATTAATCATTGCAGCCACAAGTGTACCTTATACGTTGGGTTTCAAAAAACTTTTATTGACATAATAGAAATTTATTTGCACTTGGATGTTAAACACGATCTGAAACAAATACCTGTTACTCTGGAGATGCTGAGAGGAAAAATGTGTAGGAACAGTGCAGACGTCAGCATGAATCAATGCATTTGCTCCCCTCTGTGCCAGAATTTTTCACAGTTTTGTTGTGATATTTCTTGAAAATTTGCCTGAATTACACACAAGATGGTGGGATTGAGTTTGTCCCAGATCTCACAATGTGTTTTCTTTGTGAATATTTCAGAATCTTTCAACCTTAAAAGTCCAAAAGTCAGTTTTTACTTGGTCACCTACCCACGTAGATATAATGGGACATGACTCAGAGCCATATCTTTTGCTTTATATCCGTAGAATGCATGCCGAGTATTGAGGAATTAAATCCGGAATGAGGTAATGGAAAATAAAGACGGCAGCCGGGTGAAAGAGCAGAAGCTCTGGGTGCGTTTCAGGGCGCCACCCAAATATCGTACATGGTAGAACGATCACTCTCAATGGCTTTATCGTGCCTGTCTGTTTAGATATCCGTCTGCAAATTATTTGTCTACTCAGCCCGGAGAGATGGTGGCTCTGCGCCCGGAGCTGCTAACTGGTCTGTAACTGGGAGAAGCTGCTGCTGTCGCTGGTTCGGTCGCGAACGTGCAGCCTGGAAATGTTGGGTTTGGTCAAAAATGGCAGCTTCCCACAGCGACAGACATCGCCGTGGTTCTTAATCCACTGACAGTAATATGTAATCGAGTGAAAAGTTTCAGGAAATAAAGCAGAAACGTGTTGATGCACATGTTGATGGAGGTGTCCTGATGCATTAATCAGAGTATCGGTACAATGCTTCTTAGAACAGCCGGAACTGATCGCTAACATTCATCTCCATATCAAGAAAACATGTTTCATAATAAGTCGGGGTAATAAGTGAAGCATAAACGGCATTAAAAGTGGAAATTTGCTATATCTCCAAACTCAAAAAACACAAAACACGAGTTCACCCAGATTCCCAAAGCAGATGAACAAATGCTTTTATAGTGAGCAGACATAAATCTCTTTTCATTGGTCAGCATGCAAAGATGTAAGTGTAGCCCTGTCAACAGTTTCCATACCATATAAGAGTCCTTTTGCTCTAAACCCAAAACCCCTTTAGGAGTGTAAACGTATCTGCTTGGCCTCAGACCTTTTGACCTCCAGGCACTACCTCAACTACCAACACTACCAGAAGGTTTCTCCACTAACGAAAATAGTTCCACAGCAGCAAGGACACGTGTACATAGAAGGAACACATGGATAATAAACGGTAACCTAAGAGCTCGTGATTGATTTTACTGTCACAGGACGTGGTTGGGAAGACACTGCAGTGAGGAGATTTGCTGTCGTGCCTACATTTTTAGCACAATCAATATCACTCCTCTGATACACCATCCATTGATTGCACAAAAAATGCTGTGTGAAAGTAAAAAGAACATTCTCACACACACTGAAGACATTTTGCAACTGCCATTGTCAACTATTATAATAATTATTTTGAATATTTTTGAAAAATTCTCTGATTTTCTATTTCTTTCCTCCTTTATGACAGTAATCTGAATATCTTTGGCTGGTTGGACACAATAAGACATTTTCAAATTGGACTTTAAGAAACAGATTTTTTTTTTTAGATCGAACGACTCCACGTGATGAGTATGTTAAACAAAAAAATCGCTCTACACTTTAAAAAACATTCTTTAAAGGTACTTAAGTTAAATGAATAATATCTAATAAAATCTAATAAAAAGAAAGAAAGAAACCCTGTAAAGATAATACGTTTTCTGTGTTTCCAATGCTCACAGAACAAAACCACAATCATGACAGAGTCTCATTGTTGACTAACTGAGCTGTGCATCATTTCAGCTCTGGTTGTTGAGTTGTCTGAGAATATCAGACAAATAAATCCCATTTTCGTCCAATGCAGAGCAACATTTCAAATCATGCAGCTGTTATGATATTTTTAGACTCCTCCTGGTACTTTTCTAAAGCTCAGACTCGATTTGCATGAACTCAGTGGTGAAACATTTGCTCAGATTAGGTGCTCGAGCCTTTAAAACCCCAAAGTGCACAGTTTTGCACCACTGTGTATTAACGCTGCATTTCACTTAATACTATTTATAGTAGATTTTTCCACCTCTTTCTTATACACACGTACTCTGTCCATGTAAATAGAAACTGAGTATTCTTCAGTTCTTTGTACCAAACAACTGGTTTGAGCATCTTCAGTGAGCTCAAACGCTATATTTCTGTCCCTCGAGTGGCACGTTAAGGATTAAGGATTATCCTTCACTTCATGGTGACAGTTTTAACAGCCGCTGCTTCACCTTTTCGACCTCTAAAGCCTGACTTTGAACCCTTCGCTACTTGCTAACACAAGTCACGGGTTAAATAGTTTTTAAAGTTAAAATGAATTCTTGAATGCTGCAGCTCGATTGTGGCAGCTTGGAAAAGATTTTGGTGTTTTTCTTTGGTTTTTGATGCCATAAATATAAATTGAGGTCATTTGTAGTAGTTGGAGGAAGAATTTGACCTCTTAGTCACAGAAAATACTTCATACATTAAACACCTTTTCAAAGAAATTCCTTCCAGCACTAAGTATTGGATCCATTTGTCTTCACGACTTGTGTCTGTAGTTGCAAATACACACCCAAACTGCCAATACATTTTCATATAGTGGCAAATTGTTTTTATATTTTTGCTGATTTAAATACAGTAACTTGATTGTCAAATGGTGCAAAACCAGTATTTGTAAAAGCACAGATTTTTCATGTGGATGCTATTTAGAGTTTAGGCCTGATTTTTTTATATTTAAAATGGAAATTACTACAAAACAGGCGAAATCTGTAAAATTAAAGTCAATTCTTCAAACAAATTGCAGGTAGTAACTCTAAAAAAAAAAACTAGATTTCATAGTATAGCTAACTGGTAATTGTGAGAAATCTTTCAGGGAAAGTTGGATTCATGCATTTCTGTCCCTGACCTTTCATCCTGCAGCTCCTGCAGCCGAGCCAGCGCCAGAGGTAGCAGCTCCTGCAGCTGAACCCGCTCCAGTGGAGGAGGCAGCACCAGCCGCCGAGGTCGCCGTCGAGCCTGCGCCTGCTGCTGCAGAACCAGTCGCAGAAACTGCCGCCGAACCTGCTGTCGAGGCGACGCCTGAAGAAGCTCCCGCCGCTGCTGTCGAGGTCGTCGTGGCCGAGGCTGCAGCTGAGCCTGCAGCCACAGAAGAAGCCGCTGCTCCAGCGGCGGAGGCGGAAGCTGCACCTGAAGCTGCACCTGAAGCCGCACCTGAAGCCCCTGTGGAAGTCGCCGCCGCTGTGGAGGCACCAGCAGAGGCCCCTGCAGCAGAGAGCGCTGGTACGGCAGCAGTAGATGAAGTCCCTCCTGCTCCCCCCGCTGAGGCAGAAACTGCCCCTGCTGCCCCCGAGGCTGAGGCCGCCCCGGCTGCAGAGGCGGCTGCATAAAGCTGTGATGTGGCTCAGTAGAGCTCCTCCAGAATGGAAGGCTAGGAGTTAGATGTGCTGTGTCCCACCTCCCTGGCCTCAGGAAAAAGGACTCATGAACCCCCTTTTTATAATAAAAGGGAAAAGTGGAAAAAAAACACCATTTACAGTTGGTTATACCAGTTTGGGGTTCATCAGTCCAGTTTTCAGGTGCCTTCCTTCCTTTACCTCTCCCCAACCTTCACAACCAAACCACAACACCTGGCTTTAGTCTGTGTGGTTGGATTCAGTTTGATAAATTCTGTTTTGTTTAGGAATTCTCATCACCAGACCAGAGCAAATCCAAATTACGGTTTGGCGACTGTACAGCAAACAGAGGAGTGTTTAAACTAGGTGACATAAGGGACAGAACTGAGTTGATAACTGATGTTCTCTGTATAATTTAAGTGCCCTTAAAGCAGAACTGTGCTGCATGATGTTCCCTCGCTTGTCTAAAAATGTCCAAACGGTGAACGAATGCAGCTCGTTTTTCGATGTTCAGCCTTGTTTCTGTCAACATTTACTCTCTGCCTCACTACGACGTAAAACCAGTGAGCTCTTCCTCGTCTCTTGTTCTGGACCTTTTTGCACAAATCCTCTCAGCGTGAAACATACATTTAATGTCCTTCTCTGCTTCTTTGTTCCTCCTGATATTCTCGCATATCGGGATACTTTCACCTCCATCATTACCACGTTCACACGTCAGCCTGCAGCCGGTTTATACAGCTGATCCATGTTTCTGTGTCATTTCTTTTTCTAGACTTTTCTTGAAACTTCTAAGCCATTTTTTTCTATAGATCTTTGCGTGTGTGTGTGAGAGACAAAAGAAACTTCTCTTTTCTCTTTAACTGTGAATCTTTCAGGGAACACTACAGGAAATTCACTCACCTCTATGTGTGGGCATTGGAAGTTCTTATTGCATTTTGATTAACACAGTAAAGCGTTCAAAGAATAAAACATCACTGGATGATAAGGAAGTTTGAAGTGTTTCAATAAAGACAACGTTCTGATGGTCCAGTTCTGTATTTTTCTGTTTGATGAATGTGTATTTATAAGTATTGTTTTTATTTAGTTCAACATTATAAAAAAAGACGTTCTACAGAATCCAGGTTTAGTTTGTGGCCTGCAGCTTTTTAAGCACCTCTCTTAGATGCTTTTGCTTGTTGCTCCAAATGTAAAACATGACATGAATGTAGATCCTGTAGAAACGCCTTCCTCCTGCAGAGAAGCTTCTTTCCTGAACAATCCCTGTGCCAAGTTCATGCTCCTACCAAGATTCAGCTCGAATTTGATACTTCTGCCATTATTACTGTGCTCTTCTGGGTTTTTTTTTTTTTTCATAATGATGATCCCTTTAGCACTGGGATGGCTGATAAATATTCATCTGAACAAATACATTTAACTGGCTGGTAGTAAACAGCTGCAGGCAAAACTCAAACGAAGATGTGGTCAGTCCTGCTTTGCAAGTTGAGGAAGAATAAATATGTTTAAAAAAAATGCAAGCAGCACCACAGGGTTACACATGTGAGCAGCTTTAGTTCTTTTAAAAAGTGGTCGAATATTTGATTGTTAAACTAGTGATTTGTAATCAAGAGATGTTGAGCTACAGAGAAATAACAGTAAAGTTGAATCATAAAACTACAATATTATATTTTAGACATAAATGAGTCAGTTTGATCAGCATTTGGTGACAGTGTAGAGCAGGGGTGTCGACATCCGGTCCTCGAGGGCCACAATCCTGCATGTTTTCGATGTTTCTCTCTTCCAACACACCTGATTCAAGTGATCAGGATCGTTATCAGACTTCTGCAGAGCTTGATGATGAGCTGATCATTTGAATCAGGTGTGTTGGAAGAGAGAAACATCTAAAACATGCAGGATTGCGGCCCTCGAGGACCGCAGTTCGACACCCCTGGTGTAGAGGAACAAACCTCCTGCAGAACCAGACTCTGGAGGTGATTATCCACCTCAACAGGAGGGAAAGGACAGGAGAGAAAGTGGCGATAAACACTGGGCAGGTTTATTGGGGCTGTTTGGAGTCTTAATTGTGACAAGTGTGATTTAAAGCTGTCTCTCAGACAGGTTAAGACTAATCCTAGATTACAATGCTCATTTTAAGGTGTCCTGGTGGGTTGCCAGGTTGGGGTTGCAGACGGGCTCACGGCACGCTGTGGGCAGCAGGCCAGGGTGACCTCTGACTCACATTTGTTGTTTGTCAACAACCTTAGACTTCCATTTAGAAAGTGCATCTAAGGGCATTCCACGTCTGCATGACCAGATTAGAGGATACTGAAATGTACTGCTGGTGAAACAGTTCTCTCCAGTTATGGGTGTTAAAAGTGCTCGACATGTGTGTTGAAAATGTTTTCTCAAAAGTTATCCAGCAGAAGGAGCATGAGCTGTAGTGTCCTATAGTGCTGAACCCAAGTTGACTGTAGAGCATCCAGTGATAGACACCTGATCAAGGTAAGCAGACTTCAGCTGATATAGCATAGAAAATCTGTGCAATATCAGTATTCCTACTCATGCAGCATTATTTTTCATTATATAAATATGTGCAATATGTGCACTATTTTCCACATTTAGAGGAATCTGCAATATTAACAGTACGTATTTATATTTCTTGCCTATTTTTATCACCTTTGCTGCTGTAACACTGCAAATTTCTCCGCTGTGGGATTTTTAAAAGGTTATTTTCTATGATAGAGACAATGATGCACATGGTTTAGTAAATACAACTCTTCTCTTCATATGAACTCAAATGAGTGCAGGAGAGTTTCTGCGTGCAACTTTGCAAAGATAAAAATGCTGTTTCTCCACAAACACAAGTTTACATCATACAGGAGTTTCATTTTTACAGTTTTGGTCCAGTGCAACACTTGAGGTAGATATGATATTAGTATTTAAACAGTTTCATGTTCTCCCCACTTCCTCCAGAGTCTTTGCCGGATCTGCTGGCAGCTGTGAAGATCTTAGCCAGCTCCCCAGTCGAGATCGCAGCAGCTTCTGTTGGTGAGACGAGTCTGGTGACGGCTGTCCGACAAATCGAAGGCGACGAAAAGGTACTGGAATCCACGCAGGAGGTGCTGGTACCAGAAGCTCTGGAAGCAACACCAGAATTGGCAGCTGTTGTAGAGAGTGAAGAGGAGCTAAAGTCTGCAGAGGCTGAGGAGGTGGCTGCAACAGATGAAGCATCGGCTCCAGCTGCTGAAGAAGTGATAACGGAGGAGGCGCCTGCTCCTGCTGCAGCTGCAGAGGAGAAGGAGGAAGAAGCTGTTGTTTCTTCTTCTGAGGAAACTGCAGCTTCAGCCTCAACAGTAGAAGAGGCTGAAGGTCAGGATGTGCAGGCTGAAGCTGCTCCTGAAGATGCTGCTCCGACAGAGGAAGCTCCTTCTGTTGCGGAGGTCACCATCACTGCTGAAGCTGCTCCAGAAGCTGCTCCAGTGGATGAGACATCACCAGGTGAGGAGGCATCTGCTGGTGAAACATCAGCTGAGGAGGTCGCAGCTGGAGAACCATCTGCAGAGGAGGCACCTGCTGGTGAAACATCTGCAGATGAGGTTGCAGCTGGTGAAATTTCAGCTGAGGAGGCACCTGCTGATGAAACACCAGCTGAGGAAGCAGCAGCCAGTGAAACACCAGTAGAGGAGGCAGCAGCCGGTGAAACACCAGCAGAGGAGGTGGCAGCTAGTGAAACATCAGCTGAGGAGGCAGCAGCTGAAGCTCCAGCCGAGGAGACAGTTGAAGCTGTTGTAGACACGAGCCAGCTGGCAGCCGCCTCCACTGGTCCGGACCTGGAGGTTCTTTCAGCTGCTGAGCCAGAATCTCCGGTGCACGAGGAGAAGCACTGCCACTCCTGCCACTCTGCTCCAGCAGCAGGAGAGGAGGTGGCGCCACCTGCTGCTTCAGGAGAGGAGCTGGTCATTGACGGAGGCGTGGATATTACACACGAAGCCAATGAGGCCGCATCACTGGTGGAAGGACAAGGTAAGAACATACACACTGTTCTTCTTCGGTATATTCCTATATTCCTTTTCTTAAGCAGGTCACAGTATAGTCTAGCCATCAACTGAGACTTTTTGGAACTACAAAGATGAGTGGAAATCATTTAGATTTGGTCAGAAGATTGTTGATTCATCACTCAACAAAAGATTCTACATTTCTGAGCTTAAATAAACCTCTAAGACTAAAATGTGGATGATTTAATTTTAACCCCAGGAATGTCAAATAAGAAGCTAGTTGAGCCTGACAAACTTATGAGATCCTGCACACTGAAGGGACTGTACAAACAATTTTGGAGTGAGCAGAAGCACTAAATTCAAATTTAACTTTAAAAAAATGCCCCTTCCCAGAGTTATTAAAGTTTTCTTTGGCTCTGCTCCCCGAAAATCTCAAAATAATATGACCTATTGTCCTTATTCTGATCCCTGTCTAGCTAATTAACCAGCATTGCAGGTAAAATGTGCCATTAGCATGTCAGTGCACTGTGGCATCGTTGTTGCTCAAGCTAATAGAAGCTAAATCTGCTAGCAGTTGTTGAGCAGGCCTGAAAGGTGAGAGGTCAACGACCTGTGTTCTGAAAAGTGACATGAACTAAAAGTGTTAGTAGCAGAAAAACAATAAACTTTTGATGAAGGGTTTTGCAAGAAAACATAATGGAATCCTGAAATCCCACAAAAAGTCTAAAAGTAGTCTCACTTACATGTCCTGTTATAGCTAATGGGGTTTTTTCAATAATGAGTAAATATGTAACCTGTGAGAAAGGTCAGCAAAGCTTCTCACATGTAAGTGATGGTGTACGTAGACGAGTTTGGTACAACAAGAGGCTTATAAACACTATAAAAAAATAAGATTTGAGTGGCTACTGAACACGCTGCCCTCTAAAATTCAGTTTTCTAGGAATGACAGCTAAACAAAGACATCCATCTGGCAAATCTTGCATCAAACTTAACTGATTTTGAGTTTGAAGAGTTTACAATGATGCAGAGAGCTTATTCATTGTTTTCCTGCACTTTAACACAGCATAAAGTGAATCAATTCATCTTTTCTAGTTTACCTAATGTCCCCAAATGCAATATATATACATATATATTTTCAGCCTACTTTAGAATTTATAAACACGAGTTCTTATGACTTGACTTAAAATAATGAGTTCAACCTTACTCAGTAAAATAAGTTGTTGAGAAACCCAACTAACACATAAGCAGAGTTCCCAGGACACACTGTTCGTAAAAATCTCCGGAGACTCTTGGTTCTTTTGGTTTGAGAATGATGTAAACTTTGCTGTGTCTTTATTACATGTTAAACTAAACTATGGTTGTTTCTTTACAAAATCAAAACTATTCTAACCACGACAAGGGTCGATGCTGAATTCAGTCCCTGCACCTGTAGAGCTATAGTTTACCACACTCTAACTGGAAGCAGCCTCACAGATTGTCTGCTCTTTCCAAAATTAACTTCAACAACTAATGCTGTAAATTCTCAATGTTAAATAAAGAAGCAACTCTCTAAACTTGGAAAAAGGATCCTTTCTGTAACAGCTGTTGCAGACAATGAGACTAGTCTTCAGTATATTATAAATGATTCAGGATGTCATGATGTTGTAGACTGAATAGATGTCAAATTGAAAGTCATGTGGGCAGCTATGACTCAGATGGTGTCTAAATGTCTAATCGTAAGGTTTGTGATTCAGTCCCTAACTCCTCCTGTTTATGTGTTGAACCTTGCATGGTCCCTCTGCTGCCATTAATGTATGAGTGTGTGTCCAGAATATCACAGTTACAATGACATAAATACTTTAAAATGCCATAAAAAAGTTGGATTTCTTAGGTAATTCTTTGATTCTTTAATTTTTTTAAATAAAAATAACCTGTACAACATTTTTTGCAAGTGCCCACTGGTGTCACTAACACGATATTTGACTACTTATATTTTAAATTTGTTTCCATACATCTACACAGCCTGCAGTTCAGCTGAAAAGTCCCTATATTTTTGTCACATGACTGGTGAATTGGTCATGTCTTCTTAGTTGTACTCAGGAGGGCAGAATGAACGTTTTTCAAAAAGACATAAAATATTTTCAACAAAATATCAAAGTTATAAACTTAGATTGAATGAAGTTTCCCAGTGGAACCACACTAACCCCTGTCTGTTTTTATAGTTTCTGACTCTAAAAAAGGGTGTTATTTTGAGGAATTATATGCGATAATACGTCTTTTTGTGGGTTCAGAGAATTAAAAAGAATAATGTTGTAAACACACAGCAGGACATTTTAAAGGGCATTTTTTTAAAGGGAGAGATACAAAACAGATTCTGTAAATTTAAAAATAAGGAAAACTGTTGAACATCACAGAATGTGGCTAAACTGATTAACACTGTTCAGGTTTGGCCCTAAAGGGAACAAACATCACAGTCTTTGTCCCTGTACTTGGCTCTGACCAGATGTATTTCTGTCTGTATCCACAGAGCCTCAGGTGTCTAACTGGACTGTAAAAAGCTGCTCAGTGATGTAATAATGCAGTTTAGAAGGTAAACAGTTTACAGCAGCACGGCTACAAACACAGCTGTCTGTGGAGAGTAGAATGGACATCACTCAGCATCGACATTGTTAATATTCAGAGGGTGACGAGACCAGTGTGTCTCATTAAAATGACACGATTATTTCCACCCAGAAAGTATTCTTGATGCTACAATAGAAGCTGTGCAACAAATGTCCATTCTACTTTTTTTTTAAATTTGCAAAATCACACAGTTATTTAAACTAAAATGATGCATTTCAATCTAACAAATGTAATGTTGTGCTTGTGTGTTGCAGCCACGGGGACGATGTCGGTGGTGACAGCCCAGTCGTGACAGCGTGCCTTCCACAACACTCCTCCTATCCGTCCATGGAGCCAGGACGACGGATGAAAAGCACAGGACAAGAGTAGCTGCACATTTAACTGTCTGATGTGTCCTTTCTGAAGTGTTACCACAGAGTTCTATTTCTGTGTAATCTGTGTTAGCGCGTGTGAAACGATTCCCATCGTCGCCCTCTAGGTGCCGCTGCTGCAACACCTTTCGTGGCCAGCTGAGGTTCAGTTAAAGGTCTTGTAGTCTGCAGTGGGGTGGAAGTGATTTGTTGTTGCTGTGATTTTGTGATAGTTTGCACACAAGAGATTAAGTGGGGGGTGCACCTACTGTGTATGTCATTTACCTGCTTGTGTCAACTGAAATTATAGCCGATAGACATGCATTTATATTACGTTTCCTGTAATATAAAGGACTATCTTGAGGAAAATATCACAAAAATACCACAGAATAATTTACCACAAAGGTTTTTAAAGCTGATATATATAATAATATATCCAGATTTGGTGCATATGAATTCCTTTCTGTAGTGTTGTTCTTTATATTCCCCTTTAACAACAAAAGAATGCTAAACTGCATTTAAGCTCATACTAATAGAAATGAATTTAATTACATTAAACAGCAATGCTTCCAGTTATCTAAGACTTGTACAAGGATAGTAAAGATTTATTGTTATATGCAGAAATAATAATTTAACAAAAGTTGTCAGTGCAATGAAATCCTTAGTTTGCCATTAGTTATTGCATTTACCAAAATATACTAGAAACTACTAGCGAAAAAATATAAATAAAGTTTAAAACAGAACAAAAAGCATTAACTGTAGTGATTAAGTACAGGCTGATAAAATATTTTGTAAAGCAAATATGTGCAAACACATGTTTACATCCACACATATGCATACATTTCTGTAGATTAACACATTTCCATTTAGATACATACAAACTCAGGCAGACAGCAAGAATGAGAAAATAGATGTAGATGGTTGCTTTGCTTTAAATATATTTGCACGCGCATTGTATAAATGACCATATAGAATGTTTTATTGTGAATATATGTAGCTTTCATTTAGTACATTGCAATGCAAATGTTGTCTCTGTTGATAATGAGCTCATCTTTTAAATAAAAGGATGTGTAAACAATTAAACTCAGTTTTGCTGTCATGATATTATGAACTCCACCTCCGGACTGAAAACTGTGATTTAATCATGTGTGTCTATTCTCTGAAAATGAGCTTAACTTGGACATTAGCCGTGGAAAGTAACTAATTACATTTAATCAGTACATAAACGCAATTTTGAGGTATTTGTATTGTAATTGAGTGTTTCCTTTATATGCTACTTTACTATGTTTTGCTTAAGTAGGGTTTTCATGCAGGGAATTGACTTGGAATTGAATATTTTTACATTGCCAAATTGGTACTTGTTAGTTAAGTAGACTCTGTATACAAAGGAAGAAGATATTTTTTTTTTTTATCGCAAATGAAAATAACTTGAAGAACTACAGCTTGATTTTTTTGTGTGTGTTTTAAAAATTTGATTAGACATTTTTCTTTAAAACAATACTTGAATTGTAGGTAATGTGTTAGCTAATGTAGAGATATCCTCTGCTTTGTGGGTAATCAGATAAATATTTCAGCACAACTGCAGCAGCTACAACACGCTGCTGACACAGTGACGCTTTAATATTAAAAATCTAATGATGCCATATATAATAAAATATCAGTCAGAGGGACAAAACCTGCAGCTGCTTTTTAAAAAATGTACTCTTTGTTTTTTATTGCAGTAATTTTACTTCTAACTGAATAATTTAAATGCTTTAATTTGTACATTTTAGTCAAGTAGTAAAGGATTTGAATACAAATCAAAAAGACAGATTTTTTAAAAGTTTTTTTTTCTCCCTAAATTAAAAAAAGAAATTAATAGCTTGCTAAAAATAAACAGAAGTGTGCTTGTTTATTCTGCTCAGCCCGGATTGTTTATTGTACGGCGTGACGTCACGGGTGTAATTTGCCTGAACAGAGTAAACTGACAGCGGAGCGTCTCCATTAGCAGCAGCCCGTCCGGTCCGAACCGACGCTTCTTCAACCACTTATCACCCACCAGCACCACCGAGCTCTTCTCCCCCCCCGCGACCTGCCCGGTGCTCTCCGGTGCCCCCTCACCATGGTTGAGACCAGCTAACGCTAAGCTAAGCGGCGTCGGTTAGCTGCGGGACTCCTCCGGCTGACGGTCGACGGCGGCAGCGGGATCGGAGCGCGTCTCGTCCGGGGGAGGAGGAGGAGCGAGGTTACTGGATGTCACCGACACCGCACAACTCTCGTTAGCCGGGCTGCCCAGCTCACGTTAAACGGCGTGTAAACCCGCGAACGAGGAACCGAGAGCGGGGATTTAACGGTAAGTGAGCTGCCGTGACGTTAGCCACATGGTTTGTTGTGTTTCTTTACTGACAGCTTGTTTTTGTCGGGAGGCTAACTCGGCTAGCTAGCGTTAGCCAAGTTCACGTCAGTTTGTGTGTTTTTGTCAGCTCGTTTTTTGGGGCCTCCTGTTTAACTGTAAGTCACGTTAAATGAGGACAGAGCTGGCTGGCAGTTCCCTGAGCTCCCCCTGAAGAGCAAAGGTACCGTTGAAGCTGTGAGATCCCCCCCAGTGACCTGCTCCACATGCCTCATATAATCTTCTGTTGTCTCCCCCAGCTGGCTCCAGGCAGGGGGGGCTGCAGTCTGAACAAACTCTCATTATGATTATAAACTCTCTGTTTTATTTAAATGTGTCAAAGGTGTGATGACTAAAACAGCACAGTTAAAACTATGTTGGGTAGCATGATGTAGTAACAGGTGGTGATAAGTAGGTCAGTGATGCTTGGGGGGGATTTTTTCAGCTGAAAATTTTAATTAGTTCCAACAGGTGTATAGATTCACTTCCCCCCCTCTGTACTATTTATTGACGTGCATGTGTGGAAAGTGTAATTTGGAGTCACTTATTATACTGAGCAAGCATGTAATATTTAATTTAGCCATTCTGTTTAACTTGGGGGAATCAGTGTTTGTTGTTTGAACACATTGCATCTCTGCAATAGATTAGGTATCATGGAAAAAACAACTATAATGACAGTGGCAAGAACGAGAGACCAGATATCAAATATATGAGACACAGAGAGTGATTGAAGTCGTCGATGCTGCTTGTGGAAAGTTGTCCCCCTCTTCCTGAAGGGCTCGGGGAAGTTGATGGACACTTTCAGGACCACGTTTGCCAGGCATCACATGGTGGATTTCCTGCCGTACGGTGCTGTCCCAAGCAGTTTCTTAGACGACAAACGGTTGAGTTATGAACATGCAAGTGCCCTGACTACAGCCCTAACTGGTATTTCAGCGTCCAGCAGCCCAACAGCACATTCTCGTCTTTCTCTTGTCGTCTGTGGCATCGTGTCATTTGAATAAAGCTGCATTTTAAGGCGGCCTTTTATTGTCACCGCTCAAAGGAATGTCTGTTTACCGGTCACGCTATCTGATCACTGGGTGTGGATTAACGCGGCGGTCGAGGAGTTGTCGCCAATTGGACAGCTCAAAAATATTATGGTTAAATTCAGTCCCTTCTAGACATAACAATAGAAGAGAGACTTTTAAGTTTTTCCTTCAACTCAGAAAAGAAAACCATTTCAAGTTCAGTGTGTATTGGATTTATTGGATGGTCAGATGTAGTAACAGGTAGTGAAACGTACGCCAATAGTAGGATATTTTCTCATTTCCTGTTAAAAAATTTGACTAGTTTTCAACAGGTGTAAAGCTTCACTTCCCTCCCCGTGCTGCTTCTTGACATGCTTGTGGTTTAGTTTATTTGCAAAGTGTATTTTTGACTATTTAGTAATTATTTTGTCCTATCACCGCATGTTATTTCAAGATGCCGGTCAACAGTAGGTTCCAGTAGGTTTGCAGGTTTGATTGTATGGGTCAAAAGTAACAGAGGCCTAGACTTGCTATCTTTAGTGTAAGCTGTAGTAAAGTGTCCGAGCTGTGTGCTGGTAAATGATTGACCGGCCTGCTTCTTTCTCAGCCGGTGTATCCTGTTGTCTAAGCCAACAGTTGCGCTGTGGTCTGAAGGTTTCTGGTGGGCGGACACAGTCATGCCTGAATGTTCTGCACTGGGGTTAAATTGTAAGAGGTCAGACGAGAGCAATGAGCACAAAGGTTTGGTACCGCAGAGGTGGAGGGATGATGGGTTACAGGAGAACAATGGCTGCACTTGGATGTTACGGAGGGAAGGTTGCAGAATGTGTGTTTCTGAGCAGAATGGGCGGTGATGCACTCGGGCTGCCATCAACTATACATCATCGTTACTGTTGTGTTCCTATTTCAACACAGAGGGACGCCTCCAGCTGATCTCTGTACTTTTTTAGATAAAATAGAGGGAACATTATGTCCTCTTTAAGTCTTACAACCTTCACTAAAGGTCATTTTCACACATATTGAAGCTGAAATAACAGGTCAGCTGAGTCGTGCTCTGTTAGTCAACAAAACCAGACATTTTATTTTGTGATTTAAAAATAATAAGTAGATTAACCCTCTGAGCCCCAAAAGCTGCTGGTGAGTTGAAGGACATGCTGTCTTTTTTTAAAAAATCAACTGAATTACACCAATTACCAGAGTCAGAAGAAATCTACAGATTTTTAACTTTGTGATGTTTCTGTAACGACTCATCTATGACATGGAGTTCGGTGATGAAAATTACCCAAATCTAAGGTTTGATGTTTAATCAAAACCACTTTATTCTACATCTTTGATTTAAAAGTTTGCTGATAATGGCCTGTTTGCTCTCACCAGATTTTGTAAAAAATAAATAAAACAAAACAAAACAAAACAAGGAAACAAAAACAAAACATTGTGCTTCTCCGCACAACTGGGAAATCAAGACAAACATTTTAAATTAGTGGCTGAACGGTGGGTTATGTTTACACAGAGCAGATAACAAGTATGGAAACAAATTTAAAATGTAAGTAGTAAAATATCTATAGTGTGTAGAATTATATATTTTTTTCTCCAGTGTTGGTAACACCTGTGGGCACATTTTACTGTACATTTTGATTCCAAGTTTATTAATTATTCTAATTTATTGACTTTACATGAAATCATTTTCAAGTTTAATTGTCCTTTTTTTAAAGGAGTTTTTCAGATTTTTTCAGATAATAATTCAACAATTTCCCTGAGGTTTGCACCAAAGGGATCAATAAAGTTCTATTCTATTCTATTCTATTCTATTTTTTGTTATTCTAAGTTTTAATAAATGGCTTGTTTTTCTGACCAATCATCACAAACGTGTATAAATTCAGTGGACACTGATATAAAACAGAGAAAAAGCAGCAAATCTCATCATTTGAGAGACTGAATCCTGCATGTATTTTTAATTTCTGCAAGGACTTAAAGGATGAATTGATTACCAAATTAGTCCGTAACTAGTATTCTGTTGGTCAGTTATTTGATTGTCTGATAAGGGATTTAGACATTAAACTTAAAAGCTCATTTGGCTGAAATTTGCACAGTTTTGACTCAACTGTAGCCACATTTTTAAGCTTTTAGTAGACAGGAAATGTGGGAAGCAGAGGAGGGAACTGATATTGTGGTCCGGCTGGACAGCAGTCAAACCAGGGACTCGGCCACTAAGGGCATTTCCACCCATGTGACACGGACTCTAACCACTCAGACATCAGGACACCAACTGCAACTACTTGAAAGACTTGTGACATGCTGGAGCTAAAGATGTAAACTAGCGCGTTTGCTGCCATGTGATATAAACTGTGACTGTTAAATGTGGAAGTATAACACATAGTCAGACGCTTCTTGTCTTACATCTTCTTTCATAGCAGCTGGTTGGAATTTGTCTGAATGGTTTGGGTGAATGTCAAGTAAATCCTGAGGTCATACTTGCTGTATATTTGCTCGTTGTGTCATTGCTCTGTGTGTGTGTGTGTGTGTGTGTGTGTGTGTGTTGCTGGTGGAGGGCAGGGCACAAGGCAGGGCGTTGTGTTTGGACCAGCAGCCCCAGTTACTTGGAACAAAAGCTCTGTTGTTGAAAGATCATGTGACTGTGTGTGTGTGTGTGTGTGTGTGTGTCTGAGTGCGTGTGTGCGTTTTCCACCCTTGTCATGTGATGCGAGCTCAGGGCAGGGTCTGAGAAGTGCTGAGTCGCTCTGAGAGGTTCCTTCCACCCAGGGAGCAGTCAGACAGCAAGCATGCAGGCAGGGGCGGTGGATGGTCGGCCAGACGAACGGACGGACTGTTGGATGGATGGATGTCAGGCAGAAAAGAGGAATGGGAAAGATCTGGGAGGGACAGATGCAGAACAGGTCCTGTTGCTTTCCCTTGCCACAGCAAGATAAGCATCACTTTCATTCTTTAACTCGCCGCACACGGGTGAAGATGCATTTTGAATCGACTTCTCCGCGTCAAGGCAAGTTCGGACTTCTTTCCATTTTAGTTTTGATGTGCTCATTGGGATTGGGTGGTGGAAAATATGCCCTGTCAGGATGACTCTGCTTCACCTCGTGAAGTCTGGAGAATGCTACTGACTCACTATGAACCAGAGCAACATTTATAAACACGAAACTGAGCTATTCAGCTGCTCTCACCCCTCTAATCACAAGTTTAAAGTGAGCTTAATCTGACATGTCTTAGCTGGATAACAGCTAAGACATGTGGGTGTTATCCAGACTGGCGCAAATGTTTTCAATTCCTGAAATGCCAACATGACTAACAGCTAACTGCAAGGAGTTAAAAGGCTGCGCTGACTGCTTTTGACGAAAAATCATTAAATCCTTTGCCTATCTTATCGTAGTTCCTGAGGGAAATGGTTTGTTTAATAGCGCAGGCCCTTGATTTATCACGTTGTAGCTGAGAAGCAACAGAGCAGCCACGTGTCCACAGTTGTCTAGTAAGTCCTGTTATACTAGTTTGAATCAATGCTACCTGGTTGAGAGATTTGGCTCTTGACAGATCTTTTGTTTGTATGTGTGAATACGATTAACCCATTTTTTGAGGTCGGCCTGCACCACACATGTTGTATTTTCCATGTGACACTGCAGATAGGATTGTGTAGTTGCTGCATTTGCCCACGTAGATGGATGTTCTCCGGTTTATCTCAGTTTGTGTGGATCTGTACAGTCATTTTAATGGCAGCTCATTCTGTTGACAAAGCGAGGGCACATGGTGCACTTACCACACAGAGGACTCTGCACTTTGGCTCTCCTATCACTCAATCTCTGTCTGATTGACTTTCTAATAGACAGAGGTGCGTAGATTACAAAAACCCAGTGTGTCACAATCTTCAGCTCCTCCATAAAGTTACACAACAGCAGCGAAATAACGGCACACATGCACACACCTCCCCTCGCTCGGCCTGTTTCTGTGGCTGAGAGGAAAATGTGTAAAACAATAAGTCAAGTATATAATGTAGAAACCAAGTTAGAACAGAAGAATGAGAGGAAACCTAAAGTGAGGGAAGTTGGTTTATAACAGAGGTCAGCCAATAATTGGATGCAATATTCAGAAATTTACCATATCTATGTTGTTTTCTTTTTACAAAAATGATATGTACTGCTTTGACTCCTCCCAGCAGCATTTGATTGGTGACCTGTCATTCCTTATAGCCATTTTAAAACAAACAATACATGTTTAAAAAAAGTCCTCTTTAATTAGACATATAGGAAATATAAATGCACGAAAGCATTTTAGTTACGCTTTGTGTTAAGCTTTGTGTTAAGCTTTGTGTTGCCAAATATCTATGAGTTCCAAATACCGGTTTCAACTCTGAAAAAAAAAACATATCGTGTACCTGTAGTCGTGTACCTGTAGTTTACTCCTCTGTGCTCTGTTTAGGTCTGTAATTTAACTTCAGAAAAGAAACCAGTGGAATGCAGTGTGTCTGCTCTGTCCTGATGTCCGGAGACTTGTTGGGACGCCAGATACCTTTTTTTGTGAGACCTGTGGATGTTTCACATAGTGGCTCTGTGAACTCACTGCACATCTGAATTAGCTGAGCCTTTTCAAAATGGTGCGTACAGTTCTGTCGGTTGGTTTCTGCTGTATGATATTGAATAATTGAACAGGAGGAATTTCCAACGGAGCCGATAGCATGTTGGTCTCAGTAGCAGAGGGAACACCAGCACAGCATGGTTCATCCATTATACAGCAGTCAGAGTAACTGAGCATGTCTTCATGTCCTCATACACACCATCTCAGAGGCTGGTGCAGTAGGTCTGCACAAAATTATAAACCCCCTGGATCATGTGTGGATTTAACATTTTCCTCTGGGTGTTCTGAAATATGGTGCGACATGTATACTGAAAAATCTGAGAAATTGAAGCATCAAACAGAAATAATGATTTTTAAATTCTTTGTCTGTACAGAAGGATTTGAAGAATTTAGTTTGGGATTGTCTTTAAGCAGGGCTCTTATCTGGAGAAGTAAGAAGATGTGCTGTGGCTGATAAAGAGAACCGAGACTGTAATCAACAAACTGGTTTGTACACATTATATTTAAATTAAAGTAGTTCAGAATCACTAACTAAGAGCCCGTATTGCAGCTCTGAATTAGTCAGGTCTATCTCCAAAATGTACAACACTGTAGGGTTTTAGCCACAATATTTATATTAGTTGGGTTCAGTTCCATAACTGATCATTCCATTGTGTATATATTTATTATTATACTAGTTTGGTTAATCCTCAGAATTATCAACACTGTACAGTCTCAGCCTTACTCAGGTATAATCTGTAATGTTTAGTCCCATTAAGTTACTTTACTTTTTAATCTTTTTAACTGAACTGCTGTAGCGTTTGTTGTCTTGATCTTGTTTGTGTCGCATGTTTGTGATCTTAGTTGTTTATAGAATTTGGTTCCATCATTCGTCTGATTTCATATTTGTTACAGGATAAAGCACTTTGTAACTTTGTTTTCGATTGGTGTTATACAAATATGATTAATATTAATAATATTGTGCTTCATGGGGTTTTTCATTTTTTTTAGTTTTTAGCTTTTTTGCGCATTTAAAATGTGTTGGAACTTACAGAAGTCCACCCCAAAGGAAGGTATTCTCTCCCATAGAAAACATCGCTTCTGACCTGCCTGATGCGTCTCGTTTGAAGTTTTAATAGCTTTTCCTCCGGTAGAGTCACTTGGTTCTCTCTGCCTACACTCACAGATCTGAGGTAGCAATATCTGACCACTGTTGCCTTGTTTTCGTCGGGCCAGATGCAGGACAGCCAACATTTACTCTTTTTCTACTGGTTCATCTGTGGACTAGTTTACCGATTAGTCCAATATTCAAACAATACATTTTCCTCCAAAAAAGCAAAGTGACCATTTAATTTCATTTAGTTTTGTTTTACTTTGACAAACTGCGTGTCACTGTATAATGCACCACAGCACAACATGCAAACAAAGCTTAATATTAAAACTTAAATCTGTTGTGTGAAACTAGCAACTTCCACATGATGAAAATAAATCTGAATAAGTAAAAATACTATTATTTAGGTCAGAAGTGCAAGTCTAAAAGAAATCTGAGTTTCTATTAAACCCTTTAACAAAATAAAAAAGTTCAGTCTGTCTGTAAAACAAAGTGCATCATAGACACAATGGATGTTTTTGGAGCACAGAGCAGCTAAAGCAACTCCGTCTCTCCCTATTGAGTAATATTTCTCTGGCTTTGGTAGTGAGTTTCTTTTCCATTTCAGCTGTAGGTCTTTAAAAAGTGAGCAAACTAAGAGTGGGTGGAGCTTGAGTTTAAACAGCATCAACCAATTTGCGTTTATTTCTGTGTCTGTGCTCCGGTTTTCCCTTTGTCTTATATCGTATTGTTGCCCCGCAGAGCAGCCCAGAACAGGAACTGAGAGCCCTGTGGTTCTTAGCAACTGTTACCATGGCTTCAGTCCACCCTGCCTCGATCTTCCACTGGACACTGTGTTTGTGTCTGAGGGAAGGACTTGGCCTGGTGTCAGTGCATTTCTTCCTGTAATAGCAGACAGGCACTTCCTGCAAGCCGAAGGCAGAAGGGAGGAGATGAAAGAGATGAGATCTCTGCCTTTAATGAGACCTCGGCTCACAGTTTGGACAGATGGAGGAAGGTGTAGTTCAGTGTCGGTCGGACTGCTTTCATTTTCTAAAGAGTTGTTCCGATTGTCGAACGTGAGCAGTAAGAGATTTGCCGGCCCTTTAGCAAAACCTTTTTTTTTTTAATTTTTAGTCAAGCAGCTGGTATTAAATGCTTACTTTTGTGCCTAAAGTTGGTGAGAAGACTGACACCCCTCTCATGTCTGTAAGGTAAATATGTAACTCCAGCCTGTTGGCTTAGCCGAGCAAAAAGCATCTGCATAGCAGGGACCAGCTAGCCTGCCGCCGCCCAGAGCTAACCAAATCCAGCTATCAGCAGCTCTAAAGCTCACTTATCACTGAATACATAACCAACAGGAATATGTTTGAAAAATACTGAATGATTTGTATAACCACAGGGAAAATGCATCCTGTTGCATGAGAGGATAACAGTACAGGGTCAGCGAGACAGAAGCCTCCATGAATTTAACTCTGTGTACGGCGTAGAAGAGCATGTGTAAAGTAAACCAGAACTGTGGTGCAAATTGTGCAGATTCTGGTAATGTAGGAATAAATGCAGTTATTGCCAATAAACACAGGTTTATTGACTCTTTATACACATGAGGTAAACGGACGATGGCGCAACGGTGCAGAGAGCAACGTTTCTGGAGTGATATGTTTGCAGGTATCTAATATAAAGTATATAAAGTGGTTCAGAGTTGTGGATTCACTCACAGTTGTTCCTGTGATAAAATACCGATTGAATTGTTCATCACAGTGATTATGTGCAGCAAATATCGAATCTGGTAATCTGCTGTTGCTGCAATACGGACTTTATTGTTTGTTTCTTACAGTTTGGTTTACCATCTTGTTTTTTCCAGGCGTCTGGCCAGAGAAGCTGTGGCGAGCCACAGACTGTGAATGCTGATTCCAGAGGAGCATGAGTCATGACCTCGGTGGTTCTGGTCGACACTGGTGGGACAGTGGTGGAGTATGTAACAGCTGAGGAGGATCCACAGCAGGTGTGTTGGGAACAAGCTCAAGAAAAAGTAACACTGGAACTGCAGCTCACAATAAAATATCACATTTTTTGTTCAAATCTATCCGTCTCGAATTCTTTCTGGCTTTCTCCATCAGGACGGAGAGTGCGAGGTGGATCTGGAGCTGGAAGGAGAGGTGGAGGATGAGTGTGAAGCTGAGGAGGCCTGTGAAGACACACAGGAAAGGGAGGAGGCTGATGACTACCCAGCAGTTATAGTTGAGGAGCTGCCTGGCGCCAGCCTGGCCGAGGAGCAGGGTTACTCAGCCCAGGTGGTGGTGTATGAAAATGAGGCCTATCTCATGCAGGAAGTGGCCGATGAGCAGGAGGTGGAGACAGAAGGGGAAGCAGGTGAGGCACAAATATTCC